CCCCCCCCCCCCCCCAATCCCCGAAGTACTTTTTTATTGCAGATTCGGGGTCCTCTAGTACAGCGCGGCACAACCCCACCTTCAGGGGGGGAAAAAAAAAAATCCTTGCTATGTTTTTGCGACGCCCGGTTCAGCCGGGCGGACCCCCCCGGGCCCAACCGGCCGGGGTCCGCCCGGCCGGGCGCCGGCCCAGCCTAGGAATATTTAGAATTCTGCGAAGCTCGTCATACACCCCTCCCCTGCTCTTTGCATGCCATAGCAGCCATAATCTATCCTGCCCTTCACACATTCCTTTCCCTTTGCCCCTACCTCCCCTGCCCCATACTCCTATAGAACTCCACCTTCTATCCCTTTTCCTCCACCCTCCACTCCACTCCCTTTGTGCTACTAATACATATGAATGAGCATCATTAAGAGAACAGACGATATGAAGATCAGAAATGAAATGAACGGAAGTATGAAGATGAAGGATGGACGCAAAGACTGTATAAGCTGAAGATCTGAAGTGAAATGAACAGGGGTATGAAGCTCTGAAGAGAAATGCACAGGAGCATACCTTCCCTTTTACTCTGCTTCCTAAAATAATGTGCAAGTGGGCCGTGAAGGCACACGGGGATGTGGGCAGCTGCCGCTCAACCACAATCAACGTGGGAAGCCTTGTGCTTAAGAGGCACAGTAAAAGGGGAGCTGCAAGAACAATGGAAGGGGTACCCCAAGGACAACCAAAAAACTGTCTGACTGTCTCATCTCAAATGCTCGCGTTGTCTGCAATAGGACAAAGACTGCTTTGATTCTGAATCTATTCGTCTGGGTGGAATTGGGGCTGCTGTGGGAAAATCTATCACACACACACACACACACACACACACACACACACACACACACACACACACACACACACACAAACACACACAGAATCCCTAACCAGTACCACTCCCACAAATACCCAAGTACGCACACTGCCAGAGCTAACCAACACTCCTAGTAGAACCCACGTACACTTACCACAACAACCAGTTGCACTACATAAAGCACAACAAGGGCAATTGCAACCTCAACACAGAAGAGACCCCATGCATACAGAAAGGCAATTGATTTGCTACTAACATACACACACACACACACACACACACACACACACACACACACACACACACACACACACACACACACACACACACACACACACACACACACANACACACACACACACACACACACACACACACACACACACACACACACACACACACACACACACACACACACACACACACACACACACACATACAGAATCCCTAACCAGCACCACTCCCACAAATACCCACGCATGCACACTGCCAGAGCCAACCAACACTCCTAGTAGAACCCATGTACACTAACCATAACGACCAGTTGCACTACATAAAGCACAACAAGGGCAATTGCAACCTCAACACAGAAGAGACCTCATACATACAGAAAGGCAATTGATTTGCCGTACGTACGGAGGTCCCCGGGCCAACCTCCGTACGTACGGGCGTTCGAGGTCCCATTCAGGGTTCGAACCCGAAGGCGTTCGGCCCCCGCCAAAAATTATTTCGGGGCCTAAAAGTACGTTTTTCTTTCTGAATTGTTTGTTGTGAGTTCTCTATGATGTCAGGTATATGCCTATAAATTTTGAAGTCATTTTGCTACGCCAAACAAAAATTACAAATCGCCAAAGATGGCGGTGTCAAAACGTGCTGGCCCACTCACTATTTCATTTTTTTTTACTATTATGTGAAGTACAGATCTGTAAATTTTCATGGCATTTGACTGTGCCCAAAAAAAAAAAAAAATCACCAAAGATGGCGGTGTGGAAAACGTGCTCGCTCACTCACTAATTTTATTTCTCTTTTCATTTTTTCTTATTTTCGTAGTTTTGTAACTTTTATTTTTATTTCAAATTTGGTGAGGAATTTGGATGTAATGCTCAGGCAAATGTGTTGTTTATTTTGTTTTTCTTGATAACATGTTTGGTTTTCAGAGTTTTCTGAATGTTTTTTTTTTTTTTGTGGTCCACGTTTTGCCTGAACGGCCGAACGCATCCCCAAGGGGTCCCGTACGTTCAGGCGTTCGGGTTCGGGCGTTCGGCCCGTCCCGAACGCGAGTTACCTTGTGACAATGGATATGCATCAATATGAATTTAGTCCTCTGCTATTTCTTTCCGTAAAACTCTTAGATAACAAACAAAATATACCTACAACCCCCCCCCCCCATTGATACTCGCATCCGCAATACAAATACATACAACAGAACTACGACCACTGAAATAGCTCCACAATAAAAACCCTCCAAGCCCCCCCACCACTCGCCTGCCCCACACTCGCGTCCCTATAACCAAAGGCACAACCCCCCCCCGCTTCTACACTTGGGTTCACAAGAGCCGGAACCCCACCAACGAAAAGACAAAAAAGAGCATAACGCGCATCAGCCACATCAAAAAAGACACAGCAAGACAGATCATCCATCACCAAAAAACCCACAGCCCAGCACACACATTTCTAAAACACTGAGGACGCAGACAGCGAGTCCCACAAAAAAACGCTGCGCTATGCCCAAAGGACACCTCACAGCCTTCACAAGCCAACAAAAATATGCACAGACCCAAATGGACATGGCACATGCCACACCGCTTGCATATGGACAAATGCACACGCAGCGCTACACACACCATAGCTCCTCCCCCCCAAAAAAAATCGTACAACAAAAAATAACCCACAAAACGCACGCAGATCAGGATATCCTACCATCACAACACCACCACACACCCTCTGCAGTAATTCGTGTGCATCAAGGTCTGTACGGGGCCCAGACCCGCCCCAGGCCACGCAGAACTTACTGTTCTGTGTTGGGCTGTGTGACCAAGCACTACCCAGGCCCAGACTGCTGCGTCGGGCTGTGAGACCGAACGCTGCAGATGGAAATTCAAAGGTCAAAGTCCACTGTAGAGTCAAAGGTACCATGCACAGGCTCTTGGCCAGATACACTCACTTGTGATGTGCAGGTACCCAGACAGCATCGAGGCCAAAGAAGATTCGGTTTCGGTATAATCTGAGCCCTCGTCTGAATTGAGATCTGACGACTGAGGGAGGCAGCAACCGGGGCTCAGCCCCCGAGTCAACAGTACATAAGGACTGACTCCCCGGCAATTGAATTCATTCAGTCGCGTCAATGCTGACTTCCTACCTTGACGACGACACTGGCTCTATGATGAGACGCTGGCTTCTGGCTGGCACTTGTGAGATACGGCGACGCGCTGCTTGCCAGACATGCTGACTGGCTTGCTCTTGTCTACTTGGTATGCTGACGTGGCAGCTGCCACGCGTTGCTGCTGACGTGGCCGCTGCCGCGTGTATTTCTGATGTGGCGGCTACATTGGAGAGATACAGCTGTTCTGATTCATCGTACTCAGGAGGTGATGACGACTGTGGAAGGATCAGAGATACGTACCTGTTCGTCTTGAGGTTGATGATGCTCCAACGCTGATGATGGACTATTGATGTGCCACGTGGCACTTTGAGGAGAACTTCAGATATCGTTCCAATCATTGTTGCTGAGGTGGCGACATTGGAAGGGAAGCCCGAAGAGGAAGTGGGCGCAGTATTCTTCTCCACCCTAGTCTATCTTCCCAACCTCTTGCTTATTCGTCTGTGTATGTTATCCATCTCTTTGTATCTGGTAACGATTTCACTATTGATATCTCATCAGCTGGTTGACGATTTGTGGACTTGCATCATCAACAAGTATCATCACGACTTGGGTTCATTACACCTCAATCCCCTGCCGCGCAAAGCTACTACGTCTTGCGGATACTAACACCATCATTACATCTCTACCCCACCCCCCATAGTTCTGACCTCATCCCGATTTGTAGACCCCATCCCTTCCCCATCCCCCACCATGTTCGCGCTACCTCGCCCCCCCTAATCCCACCACCCCCAACCAAATTTTCCCAAGAAGTGCGCACACAACCTGCTCTCTCCGATGCACTCAAACGCTGGATTGAAGTCATAGATCAATATGATTTCAAGCTAGATTATGTGAAAGGAGAATATAACAAGGTTGCCGATGCACTGTCACGTAGGGCAGATTGCCTGGGTGCGGTAACTATTGAGTTTGGCAATATCAGATCATGTAACTCGATAATTGGTGGAAGCCTACAAGGAAGACCCCATCATGATGGACATCATCCGCAAACTAAATAACAAAGTTAAAGCAACATCTGACGAGTTTGTCGTGGTGGATAGTTTACTTTTCCTTGAGAAGGCAGGGATTAAAAGATTGTGCATTCCATCTAGTAAATTTTTGCGTAGTTTAGTTTTAGGAGCGCGCCACGACGCAACAAGTCATTTTGGTTACATAAAGACTAGTGCAAATTTAGTACAACGATTCTGGTGGCCTAATATGCTGGATGATGCAAAAAGTACGTGCAGACTTATCAGGTCTGTCAGCGGGACAAACCGCGAACTCAATCCCCGCTTGGGTTACTCAAGCCCTTGCCCATTCCTGCTGGTCTGGAACAGAGCGTCTCCATGGATTTCATGGATACTCTCGTGACCAGCAAGAGTGGCAAGAGGCGTATCTTCGTCATAGTTGATAGGTTTACTAAGTATGCTAGACTAATTGCCATGCCTGAGACCGCGAGGATTGATCATGTCATCGAGTTATTCATGGATAACGGGGTGCGTGACTTTGGACTGCCAAGTCCATCGTCAGTGATAGAGATGTCTGTTTCACAAGCGAGATGTGGAAGAAGACTGCGGAACAGATGGGCAGTCAACTCGAGTGGTGCAACGGACAGGCTGAGCAGATGAACCGAGTGGTGCAGCATGTGCTGAGGCATTACATTAAGCACAACCAGAATGACTGGGATGAGAAGTTGCCTGTCATCGCCAGCTTGTACAACAACGCTGTACACAGTACCACTGGCATCAGTCCTAATCAGCTGCATTTGGGGTGCAAGCCTAGATCTGCTCTGGACTTCCTTGTGCCTGAAAACCGACCTGCTGCAACTCCTGGAACCATAGAATTTGGTGTCCAGTATGAGAAGTTGTTGCAGCAAGCTGTCGAACGCATTAAGAAATCCAAGAAGCAATGATTGCGCATGAGAACAAACATCGACGACAGTCCACATTTCAGGTAGGGTAACGTGTCTAGGCTAAGGCTAGTGAGCTTTGACAGGAATACGACATCTCTAGGAACCTAATGCCACAGTACTTTGGTCCTTGGGAAGTCTTAGACATCGTGGGTAATGAATTGGACGGTCCATCGTACGTTATTTGTATCTTTTGTCACTTACGCACTTACCCTGTTTTTCACTCCTCAAAGCTTGCTCCTTTCGCTGAGACACAGCAGTTTCCATCAAGAAGGTCAATGCAGCCCCCAACCATGGATGGCCACGTGGACGTCGACGATATCCTGGAACACAGAGACTTGCCTGTTCCCAAGCCTGCTGGCAGGGGAAGACCTCCAAAGCCTAAGAGGGAATACAGGGTCAGATTCAGGCATCATGCGGATCCTAAGGAAAGTCGAGGGTTCACAAGACAAGAGCTTGTTGAGACTGCACCTCAGATCGTGGCTGAGTATGAAAGAAGGGGAAGGCACCTGCGTAGAAGCATCTCAGCGGACTTTCGAAGCTAAGGGGGATGGATGTGAGGAATGCGTCCTCAAGGGAACCCTAGACAATATGCATATGTTCTGGACTGTGGCCCCAGCGAGCCTCGTGCCCGCCCTAAGTGAAGGCGGGCCTGAATATCCACGAGAGGCCCTTGTCTCAGCATTTTCCAATGAGGGCATCAGACAGTTGCCGCGGGTCAGTTGGTTAAAAGGCAACCTGGGCTTCACCCTGGGCTCTATCCAGAAGCAGCTGCTGCGTCAAGCAGTTAAGCCCGGGACGCAGGTGGTTGCGCCCTGGGCGCAGCGTGAGGCCGACACAGCACGAAGTGGCTGCGGGCCAATGAGAAAGCAGCATTGTCGTCACACCTACCCACGGGCCAATGCAAACACAGCAAACACTTGGAGCCTGGAAAATGCTGGGTTTGCCCAACTGCAAAGGGCCCAGGCCCTCAACTCTTGGGCCTGGGCGCAGACACTGGGGCAAACTTCTTCGGCCAGGCCCAGGGAGGGAGGCAGAGGGCAGCATCTCCCATGTAGGGAGGAGGCCTGCCAGTCTTGGGCATGCAGGCCTTAGCAGGCAATGTGGATAACCTGCTGCGCTAGAGCGCTGGCATGTGCGTTAGCTGGCTGGCCGCGCGCACACGGGCGCTGAGGTGAGGGGCGCTGCAAGGGCAGCGGGGCGCACAGCAGCCATAGCCGGGCTGCAGGGGCGCGAAGGCGAGTGATGGCGAAGGTGGTCTTCGGGTAGGGCGCACATGAGGTGTGGGGACCCAGGGGGTGATGAGGGGAGTTGAGAGACGTACCTGGTGTATGTGGGAGGTCGGCATTGGTGTTGACGTCATGTACATTGGTCTTCGATGACGAACTGAGCCTGTTGCATGAACGTAGATAGGATAGGTAGACAGAGTAGAGTAGGCTGGGCGCTGGGCGCTATACAATAGGAGCGACATTGGACACTCTGTTGGTGTGGCCTGAGGGCTTGGACATTGATGTATCGCTCTTGTTTGGATTGAATATTGGTGCATTTGAGCTCTGTGCTGTGTACATGACTATCTGGACTTCTGCGTGATTTTGCAACTTGGTTTTCTGTTGATCACTCTTGCTCATATTCCTTGCACAATCCTTTTTTTTTTTTTTTAATTGCACCAACCCTTTTTTTTTTTTTTTTTCATTTGGGGGGGTACCCCTGCACTTCAGCAATCCCCCCCGGCCGTCGGATTTTAAAGCCCCCCCCCCCAAGGTCCTGGAACCGACTCGTACGGCTGCACATATGGCCCGTAAGACTGTCAGGTGGCCGTTTGTATAGAACTACCGTACGTACGAACGGACCGTATCGGTACGACAGGCACACACAGCTACTGCCCATCTGGCGGCCCCCTTGGGGGCTGAAGAGGCTATGCTTTGCGCAACAAGGATCCTAGAGATGGGATAACCAAGTAGCCGAAGCCAGGTAATGGGCCCAGTAAACAAATAAGGAGAACGAATGTATTTGGTATGCTGGACCCGGTTTCCAGCAGGTGCTGCTCCCCACCAATAGACCGGAGCATCTAGCAGGCCCCACTGGGCTTCTCCGGAAAAAAAAAAAAAAAAAGATGTCATGACTCATGATATGATCCCAGGTAAATGTGCTTGATGCCTTGAAATGAATTTTTTGATTTTTTTCACCATCAGCATTTTCCCCAGCTTTGCTTCCTTTTCCCCCCTAGGACTCGTGATATGTGCCAATGACTTTCTGCACACCAGTGTGGTGAGTGTGCCAAACGTGCGTATGTCTAGAGAGAACGTGCATCGTTGCTTGATTCTGCCATGGTTTTGAAAATTTTGCCCTGCACATGTTGAACGTCATCAATAAATGTTTGTTTCTGTTTGTGGTGTACAGATATTACTGGAGGGAATTGTTCACAATGTCGAAGGTGATGTTAGCAAGGTAAGCCTTATCGCTCTCAAAAGACACCCAAATATGTTTATGTTGCAGATAGGATTAGGGGCTCGATTTCTTTTGGCATGTGCGACATGGTTTTGGCGTCCATTGGTCGCATTAGGTGAAGGCAGTCGAACATCAAGAGGTTCGGGAGCAATTCATTTGGTGGTGTCGCGGTGTGGGTGAGTGATAGTCTACTTTGATTTTGGTTTTTTGGTTAAGGTAGATTATCATTTACAGTGTAATCAGTGAGGGGATTTTGCAGACTGTTGAGGGTTCAGCCTCTTGATGAGTCGGTGAAACTCCAACGAAACAGTTTGTCACAGCCCCTCGTTTGTTGTCCTCTTCTCTCTCTCTGCCTACGGTTTACCGGGCAGTTCTGTTTGTGACGATATGTGACAATATATATATATATATATATTCAGCCTCCTGATGAGTCGGTGAAACTCCGACGAAACAGTTTGTCACAGCCCCTCGTTTGTTGTCCTCTTCTCCCTCTCTGCCTACGGTTTACCGGGCAGTTCTATTTGATGATATATATATATATTTTTTTAATTTGGACCATTTCTTGATTTATGCGTGTCATCCTTGCGCAGGGGCCATGCTAATCTTTTCTGTATCGTTCCAATTTTAACGGATGTCCCGAAGGACCGGTGGAAATAATAATTAACGAAGGGATAGGAAGGAAAAAGGAGCAGAAGAACCAGGGCACATGAAGAAGGCAAAACGGGAACTGATGTTGTGGCCGCAGGTCATGTGTCAGTGGGAATTGAGGGACCCGGTCCATGACAATCTTTCTTACCCAACATCGGAATAAATTATGTTGGTAATGACGACTTTGCAAGGAACCATCAATGAGAAACACAAATTTTCCAGCAGTGAAGGACTCAAAGCAGGAGCAGCATCTGCAATAACCCGCTCGTTATGCCCTGTTGTTGCCGAGGGGCACAGGCAGGCCGCGACGACCAGGGGGAGGAACCCCCCCCCCGAAAAAGGCTTCAGGGCCTTTGAGTCCGACAGTTGACTTTGGTCAACTACCCATCAGGTCCACGAGTCAAAGTCTGTATGGACCCAGCCCAGGCCACCGGTCAGACACACACACTTGTTTGTATGCAGGTACCAAGACAGCATTCCGACCAAGTGGAAGTCTGCAACTGTATGAGCTCCAGGCGGTCGGCTGTGAGTCAATCTGAGCCACCGTGGGTGGAAGACCTGAGGCAGGTCAACCTTGTCAAAGGCTACATAAGACCCTGCCTCCAGGGAGTCAACATTCAGTCTTGCTATGCTGCCTTGACGCTGGCTTGATGCTGGCTGGACGCTGGCTGTACGTTGGTATTGTGGACAACGACGCGAGACTGCTGCTTGCGTGCTGGCGCCTTCCTTTCTTGGCGCCAGTCTCTGCTGACGTGGCGCAAGCCACGCTGTCTTCGACATTGCTGATGTGGCGCATGGCACTCTGTCTTCATCACTGACGTGGCATTTGCCACACTGTCTTCATTGCTGAGTTGGACGCGACAAGAAGGAAAATCGGGATCTGTGGTTGAGTGAGAGAAAGGATACTTACCTGTTGCTGATGTCGATACTGTGCGCTGCTGAACGTCTTCGTGGGAGAACGGTACCACGTGGCACTCTGATGTGATCAGGCCCTGACAGGCTCGTTCTTGGACTCTGTTTTGCTGACGTGGAGGCGAGGGGGAGGCCTGGAGAAGGAGAGGGATTTGAGGGCTACTATCTATGTGGTCATTGTTGGATACTTACTCTTCCACCCTCTACAACGTCTATCCTCCCTCTCTTTTCTTTATCCATTGGTAACGAGACATTGTATCACAGATCACATTCAAGATCATTGGAGACATTATTCAGTGCTGACTCTGCTGAGTTATCTTGTATTTTGACATTTGACTAGTGCTCCTGCAGACTGGGTTCATTACAATTTGGTATCGGAGCTTACCTCCTTCGTCGCGATCTGCTGTCCGGCTCCAGGTGGCGCCCAGGTAAGTTCGGGGAGGTGCCGCGCACATCCAAATCGCATCTTTTGACGCGTGCGATTATTATCGCAGGTCTAGACATTGTACGAGCGCGCACGTACCATCCCCCTGAAGATGATGACGTGGAACAGCTGAAGAGAAGACGGCGACATTGCTTATGCGGCGCATTGTTGCTGACATGGCAATCAGATACGGGCGAGAGCATCGTTGGCCGCGGGCTGATGTGGCACAGTTGATCGCGCGCTCGCGCGCGCGCGAGAGAGAGAGAGAGAGAGAGAGAGAGAGAGAGAGAGGTGGTGTCATAATTGTAGCTTGAGAGAATCGTCATAAGTGGTGTTTCCTATAGAACAATAATGAGGGGTGAAATGAGCGAAAATGGGAAAGAGACTGAAGAGGCGGTGCCATAATTGTAGCTTTAGATATCTCAAACTACAAGGATGCCCATTATCTAGATCTAGAAGAGATCTAGAGTCTAGAAATAGGGGCATAGACAGTCCGCCACTTGGACTAACGAGGAAGGATTAGACAAAGAAGAAAAAAGAAAAAGAAAAAGACAAAATAGAGGGATGAGGTGTATATGAGGTCATCCGCCATATAGGGACTGCCAGAGTAGGGAGTGGTTCTTTATGGAGCCAACAAGTTGGCAACTTCCGTCGTCTCAATCCCCACTCTGAATTGTAGGGAGGAGAATCCAGAGTGCAAGATATGGCCCTTAGGGCTATATCTTAGGGCCATGTCTTGCACAACTGCTAGGTACGTTGCAAATACCTAGCTCAAAATTAAAGTCTAGATGCCTTGGGAAGGGCCAAAAGACAGACTTCGGCCAACTCAAGGTTGTAGTTAGTCCGGAAGTGGACTAGATACTGAAATCTAAAGGGAAACAAAGAGCAAGTGAGAGAAAAGGACAAACTTGCTGGCTGTTTTTTCATTTTGGCCGTTGATCTTGGGATCGGATTAACGAACAAAATGAAAAAGGTATTTTTGTGATGGCAACTCAAACGGAGAACTCCGAAACGAGTTGGCATCCGGGAAAGGGAAAGAAATAAACGAAAGAAGAAGACAAAACACTGCATCTAGCCAAAAAACGAAGCTAGATGCACTTGGGGCTTGATCCTAAGCCCAATTCAAGTGAATCGGGCAAAACCTGGCCATTGATCTGTGGTCTAGGATGAACCGAGGTGGAATCCACACCTTGGCCCAATCAAAATTGAGTGGGACTTAGAAAAATGTGTTTGGAGGCCCAAAAATGCCTCCAAACTTTATCAAGGTTGTCCCTTGATCGTTCAGATCCAAGGGACAGCACGGATGCTGAAAAGTAAACACTTTTCAGCATCCACATGCAGTCCGAGTTAAGACTCACACCTCAGACTATATGAATCTTGTCCAGAGGCTGGCCAGATGCACTCTGAGAGGTCTAGAGGTGAGGAGAGGCCTTGGGTGGGAGGTCGAAAGGCTGACGGATGAGGAGCGGACAGCCTATTTAAGAGAGGGAGGCTGCCCGCTCAACTCACACTTGCTCCCTATATGCCTAGATGCTGGCCAAAAGCTGGTCGGATGGGCCTTTGAGCTTATCAGACCACTGAGAAGAGTAGTGGTGCCCCTTGGGGGCCTAGAGGGAGAGAGAGGGCTACCAATAGGGGTTCTAAAGGTAGTGGGAAGCGGCGCTGGCCTAAGGAGAGGCTCCGCCATACCCCTCAGTCTGTAGAAGGTAGGAAGGGAGCCCCTATAACCCTCCTAGAGGGTGCACAGCATAGCTGATTACGACAAGGAGGTCCACCATATCTAGAAGGGTCAAGGAGAGAACTTTGAGCCATCCTAGGAAGAGGAAGGTCTGAGGAAGGAGAAGGGAAGTGTGTGGAGCATCAAGGACTAGGGAGGAGGGAGAAAGGAGGAGGCTTTGGCACTTGGAAGGCGCATATGAGGTCCATTCTACTTTGGACCATCCTAGGAAGCCATAGCTACTTCTACAAGAGGTCGGAAGGGTAGAAGATAGAGGAGTAGGTAGAGAGGATTGGACTACATCAAGACTGCAAGAGAAGACTCAAGTCAAACAAGGCTGGTGGAGCTGGGGAGGAGAAGCCCTCCTCCTCCATCTTCTTTCTTCTTCTTCTTCTTCGTCTTCTTCTTCTTCTTCTTCTTCTTCTTCTTCTTCTTCTTTCTCTCCTTTTTCTCCGTCTTCTTCTTGTCTTCTTCTTCTTCCTAGAAAATAGCAACCCTCGTAGTTTTTTTTCATCAATTTTGGGTCACTTTCTACTTCAGACTATACTAGAATGCATGTGTGTTGTTTTCACCAAGCATAGACGTGATTTCTCTAGTTGTTTTGAGTTCTAGTCTATAGGTAGTCTCATGCTTATACCTCGGACTATATTAGGATGCATGTTTGCTGTTTTCACCTAGTCTAGATGAGATTTCCGTACTTGGTTTGAGTATTAGGTAGGCTCGTTTTGTACTTTCCTCATTGGTTCTAAGCACTCGTCTATGGGTAAGCCTGATGGATCACTTTCTACTTCAGACTATACTAGAATGCATGTGTGATGTTCTCACCTAGCATAGATGTGATTTATCCACTTGTTTTGAGTTCTAGTCTATAGGTAGGCTCATGCTTGTACCTCGGAGTATACTAGGATGCATGTGTGCTGTTTTGACTTAGTCTAGATGAGATTTCCCTACTTTATTATTAGTCCATAGGTAGGCTCATACTTGTACCTCGGATTATACCAGGTTGCAGATTTATTTTTTGTACTTAGTCTAGATGTCATTTCCTCATTGGTTCTCAGCAGTCATCTATAGGTAAGCCTGCAGATTTATTTTTTGTACTTAGTCTAGATGTCATTTCCTCATTGGTTCTCAGCAGTCATCTATAGGTAAGCCTACACTTGTACCTCAGACTGACCAGGTTGCATGTATCATGTCTTCACTTAGTCCAGGTATGATTTTCTCACTTTTCTCACTTGTCTAAAGGTGGGCTCATGCTTGCACCTCAGACTATACTAGGATGCATGCTCGCTTGCTGTTCTAAGTATTTCTCTAATTGTTTTGAGTACTAATCTATAGGGAGGTTCATACTTGAACTTCAGACCGTACCTCACTTGTTCTAAGCACTAATTTATAGGTAGGCCCGTACTTTGTACCTGTTTGCTGTTCTCACTTAGTCTATATTAGATCTCTTTTCTTGTTTTGAGTATTAGTTTATAGGTAGGCTCCTGCTTGTACCTCGGACTATACTAGGATGCATGTTTGCTGTTCTCACTTAGTCTAAATGATATTTCCTCACTTATTTCAAGTACTTATCTATAGGCAGGCTCATACTTGTACATCTGACTACTAGGATGCATGTTTGTTATTCTCACTAGATGAGATTTTCCTACTTATTTCGAGTATTAGTCTATAGGTAGGCTCGTACTTGTACCTCGGGCTATACTAGGATGCACGTTTGCCGTTTTCACTTTAGATGAGGTTTCGCTACTTGTTTTGAGTACTAATCTATAGGTAGTCAGACTATACTAGTTTGCATGTTGGCTGTTTTCACTTAGTCTAGATGACGTTTATGTCCTTGTTCCGAGTACTTGTCTATAGGTAGGCTCATACTTTAAACTTCAGACTGTAGTAGAATGCATGTAGAATGTTTTTACCTAGTCTAGATGTGATTTCTCTACATGTTTCAAGTTCTAGTCTATAGGTAAGCTCATGCATGAACTTCGGACTGTACTAGGATGCACCTTTGCTGTTTTCACTTAGGGAGAGACACTATCTAGCAGCTTCATTGAGCTATCATCTTGTCCTCCCCTCTTCTTCTTCTCCCTTTCCACATTTGTCTCATCTCCACCTTCATCTTCTACGGGTTCCTCCCCATGTGTGCGCAAGCAAGGAGGGACCTTTCGTCTGTGTTTGCATCCCCTCCTGGCATCTCAACATATGTGGCGATGAATGCGAGCACAGAGTCTTGAGTCCGATTGAGCCAAATTCCTGTTATCAATCTTCCGCTGCTTCACATTGCTTTGCTATTGCTCTACCTTGCTTTCATCTTGCTTGTATTGCATTATCTTTGGGTTCTTTCTTTCGCACTGGAGATTCTTTGGTCTTGTGCATAGCCTATCAACTGATAGTCCAGTGTGTGTGTGTCTGTGTGTGCATCCTGTCAGAAGATTGTGTCTCTGTTGCACACACAAAAGAAAGAAATGTAGGGGATCTCATCCTATTCTCTCCCATCCCCATCTCTCTGCGTGTAAATCAACATCACCTCAACCCCCCACCCCTCCCATGGGCCATGACCCTTTTCTAAACCTAATAGCCCCTCCCTCCCAAGATGTCCACATCTGCATGTCCTTGCAGACATGTCAGGTACAGGCGTGCACTGCATGTCTGTGGATTGCCTGGACAGGCCGGATCACGACTATGGATAATTATCGGAGTTTCTGAACATTGTCATCCAACGTTTTCATGGAAGATGGCCAGTCTCTTTTCTTGCAGACTTGTTTCACTCTCACATGTGTTGATCTACATGATCTTCCAGGCAAGCCTTGAAGGATGGATGAATGACATGCATTTCTTTTTTTTTTTGGTGGTACAGGATCATCAGGGAATAGATAAAGTGCATGCAAGCCCAACTGAGGCTGCCATTCTGAAGTGGGGGCTAATGGTAAGACAGGCAAATGGTGGCCAAAGGAGGCTGTGTTCTCCTCAAGGGACTTATGTGCAATACTACTACTACTACGTCAATGAGTAATTCATATGTGCAAGTCTATGGTGATGATGAAAGACCAAAGCAAAGTAGTCGCTATTTTGTTTCACCAAATCACGTTCACGGTTGTCTGACCTCTGAACCATGTCCAGTCTCATCCTCAGCTGGTTTCACCATTTCCCCAAGCCAGATGTTGTTTGGTCCTTAATTTCACAATCCATCTCATCTGTAAAACCAGTGCGTCACTCCCAGGTTCTAATGCCCACTTTTTTTGCACCGAGTTCTCTCCTCCTGAAATGTCACACCGCTTTGGAGGGATGCTGTTCTTTGTTAGGGTTGCCTGACCATTGGCAGGTCCAAGCAGGCTAGCACTTACCTTGATGGCCTTCAACATATCCTCTGAGGAGGACGAAATTTTGGTGATTTGCATGATCATCCCGAACACTGAGTAGACGATCATAAAGGCTTTATCTTCTTTTTTTTCTTTTTCTTTTTTTTTGGATAAAAACCATACTTGCAGCGCATCCCGTGCGTGGGTCGCGGCACATGCGGTGCAGAGTGCACACACATGCACGTGCGCGCACGTGATGCGGCGCATCAAAAAAAAAAAAAAAATCGAAAGGACAGGGTGGGGTGGCCAAACATGCCCCTCGCTTCTAAAAATCAGAAAGCAATAGGGAAAACCGTCAGGGGCACGCCATACCCCAAAACTGTGGCCACATGTCTGTGCGTGTGGCTGTGCATGTCCTAATTGTGTCCAGTCTCTTTTCCGAAGGGCCCCTACAGCGGATTAGCGAGGACCTCGTGTGGAGCAGAGATAGAGTTTGCGGGGGCCGAAAATATATAGTCTGGATTCAAATTCGGGTCTGTGCATCACGTTTATGGGTCACTAATTCTCTTTTTCCTCATTTTTCTTTTCTTAGGAATACGCGCAGTGCAGTGGCCATCGGTTAGCACGATCTCCAGCGCTAAGGTGTGCTAGCGCCCGGCCTAGGCCCGACGGGCTGACGCCTACCGAAACCTGCCGCCAACCTCCGGCCCAGCCTCCTGCGTGCCGCGCACACCCAACTTCGAATTTTCAAAGCTGGGAGGCAACGCCCGCCATCGCCCCGAGGGCTCGAAGAAGCCATGCCCGAGCACGCCCCCCGCGCGTGCGCCATCGCAAAGAGGGAAGCTGACCACAACGGCCCTCCTTGAAGCTGCTCCGAACATCCCAGGTAGAAGCCGGTCGAAGGTCGAAGCTGGCAACAGCAGGTGCTTCACAGAGACGAACTGCAACAACCATCCAGCCGTAGATCGACGTCCCACCAATCGCCGAAAGACTGAAGGAGTTCCCAATCCGAAGGCTGCCTCCGCAAGATAACAAACTACACTCCGCGAAGGCATCTGCGAAGGCACCAAGACTCAGGCGAGGAGGACATTCTCCCTCCGACTGCAGCGATAGACTCCAGGCATCAACCATTAACAGCTCAGTGAGAAGTCCGCCATGGCACCCCTCCACACTCTCTTCCTGCCCACGACTAACGTACCTCTGCTGAATCCCCCCTCCTGAATTCCCCCTCCCGAGTGCATCCCACCTCCCCTAAACTAAACCGGGCATCCCACCTCGCCTCCTAAAGACATCAATCTTTGCCCACCCCCCCTCAAACCCCCCCCCCCCCCCCCCCCACCCCCCCCCCCCCCCCCCCCCCTCCCACTTCCTCCAACACTCCCGACACAACCCCGCAGCACATCAGTCACCTTCTCCTCACGCAGCAGTCCAGCTCCACCCCCCATTCTACGCTCACGCCCCCAATCCTGAGCCCCCCAACCCCACCCTCTCTCACTTCCAGCCTTCCGCTCCATCCCCAACAACCACCACACACCTTCAACCCACTCTATCCTTTGCTACCCCATCTTACCCCCCAAGCCTCATCAACTCCGAACCTGCACTCTCCCTCGCCTGACCCCCCCCACCCATCTTGCAACTCTCTGTTCAAGCTTCCACCCCGGCGCGATCACTGAAATCACAATGAGCAATATGTCTGCCTATCCTTTTCCCCCTCCTACTCTATCGCATCCCCTCCCTCGCTGTCACCTCCCTTCTCCCCAACTGCCTAGCAAATATGTAACTAACACTCCCGCTCTCGGGGTCCTTCCACTTGCCACC